TCTCTGTAAAAAAATTGACATTGAATTTTTATTTTTATCTTCATATTCTTGTTATTATAATTTTATAGAAAAGTCATTTCACATATTGAAAGAATGAATTAAAAAATATAAATGTTAATTGAAAAATCAATTTAATAAAAATTTTGAAACCTTCTTGCATTATATAATTGAAAATTTTATAAAAAAAGAAGATGTAAGAGGATATTTCAGATCTGCTCATATAAAATAATATTATAAAATTTAAAAAATTTCAGATTGCAATTCAATTATGATGATATATAATATTTAAATTTTAAATTCAGAAGCAGAAGAAGTATGAAATTTATTATCATTATTATAAATAATAAATAAAAACAATTTAATCTTTTTCAATTGTGATTGTTAGATAAAACTCTTTAATTTATTTTTTATTATTAAAAATATATTCATTTTAATGTTCAACTGAATTATCTGCTTATTTATTATTGTTTGTATATAATTCAATTCAAAATCCTCATTTTAAATAATATTTTTTACAATTAAAAAAGGTTCTGCTCTTCAAGATCTCTCTGTCATCAATCAATTGAAAAGCTCATCAATAAACAAATCTGTATATTCATCAAATTGAGAGATTGAATTACTTCAAATAAAAAGCAGATTCAGATTTGATGACAGATTCAAATTTAATAACAGATTCAAATTTAATAACAAATTTGAATTCAATAACAGATTTGAATTTGATAGCAAATTTGAATTCAATAACAGATTTGAATTTGATAACAAACTTGAATTTAATAATAAGTTTGAATTTGATGATAAATTTGAATTCAATTCTTCCATGTCTCTCATTTCTTTCATCATATATTTCATCACCATCATATTGATTATCTTATTTGAAGACACAATATTAAATGAAAAAGAAGTTGAGAGAGAAAATATAATTACTAACATCTGAAATATCTGTATAAAAAAGTTAAAAATAGAGATAAATTTACTTTTTTATTTTTTCTTTTTCTTTCTATTTATTAATCTTTTTATCATCTTTTTTAAGGGATTTTTAATTGTTGTATATTCACATTCAACATCATCTATTCAACTGACAATCTCACTATTTAGAAGTTGAATATGAGTATCATTAAAAGTTATTCAATAAATACTCTGCTTAAAATTATGACAATTCATCTTTTAACAACATTAATAAACAGTTATCTCACTCAATGTGCAAAAAATCATACTCATTTAATCATTGATTTTGAGCTTTTTTCAACTGCTGACTAGTGGCTGTGAATCTTGTACACATAAACAGCAGCTTTTCATCATTGAATATTTCATAAATTTAAAAAAATTTGACAGAATGATAGAGAGGGGATTTGACAAAATAATAAAGAAGAAATTTGACAAATGATGAGATTACTTTTTTTTTAACATTTAATACTTTTTTTTATACTAATATCTGAATTATTAATTAAGAATTCAACACTTCAATGAAAGCTGCAGAATTGTATATTACAAAGATGTTTAAAAATAAAGTTGAAATATCAAAAAAATTAAAAAAAATAATAATCTCAATGCTAAATCCATTCATCTTTTTTTTATATAATTTTTTTAAAAAAGTGATAATCTCTCTTCAATCTGTTCCCTTTTAAAAGTGATTTTGATTGAAGATTCATATTTATTTAATGAGATGATTGTTATATAATTTGCAATTTCTATTTTTTTGCAGTTTCGCTTCATAACATATTCTTTAGCAATTTTTTTTTGCAGTATATTGAATATGATAGAAGTTGACAATCATATCATTTATTATGACATTCTGTAACTTAATCTTTATAGACTTCTTTATTTCATTGATAATCACTTATTCATACAAGTTTGAATGTGTAATGCACTCGTTTATTATTTCCTTATTATTATATTATCTTTGTTTATATCTTCGTCTATTCTTACCTCTTTCCATTATACTCTCGCTACCACTATTTCTGTATGTATATATATATGGATGCATGTATTTCGCACATCTTCTTTCTCTTTCTTTTCCTCTTCAGCGATTAGCTACAACTACAACTACAACTACAGCTACAACTACAACTACAACTTCAACTATACTACTACTATAATTATTATTATCTTCCACTACACTATATACTATCTTCTACTATTCACTCTTCACACTGTCATCACCCCTCACAGAATGAGATCTCAGATTCAGAAATAGATGTTTATAAAAATTGAAAATTTTCTGATTGTGTTTTTTTCTTCTTCTTCTTCTTTTTCTTCTTATCTTTCTTCTCATCATCAGTTGGATTCTCATCATTATCTGGAACATTCAGAACAGGCGGTTTGAACAAATAAAGATGTAAAGTAGTTGAAGTTCTTTTACAAGTTTGCAAAACAGTAGAATGATGAGTGTTGCAGAGTATATTGACAGATTTGATGATAAAGGTGCATATTTGAATGAATTGAATGATATTTGAATGATTCTAGAGATACATGGATATTTTGGTTATTTCTGCAGTGTTTTGCTACTATTTTTCAGGGGGTGGCAGAAAATTCTGTTTTCGCAAGCTTTACGTCCGCCACAATAATATTTAGCCTTTGTTCTGGGACGACTTAAACCACCAAAAACTTTCCACTCAACCATACCACTGGCTTCTCATTCTCCATACTGAAGCACTTTGCAAGCCAGCATGAACCATTTTCCACACTTCTGCAATCATGCCAGTATCACGCTCCGCTGACTGATTGAGCGTCAAATGCGGTCAACGACAACATTCTGTGTCGGTGTTTGACCCTTCCAGCGATCAACCTTTCAGTGTATTCGACCCCGTCAAGGGAACGTGCATGTTGACGGTCGTCGTTGTGGTCAAGTACAGGCCTCATGAGCAGGAACTTAACAGCAGTCTCAGACTACACATTTCTATCACCATGTCAACTATATCGCCTCGTCCTTCTATAGCATCTGCTCGAACCCCTACACCGACTGGATCCCGTCGGCCGTCTCTTGAAGCCAGCAGCTTGGCCACAAGCAACACATCAACCCCAACTGCCAAAGCATCTCCATCTCTTGCGCACCGGAAAAACCGAGCTGCGTTACGGGACTACTACAATCTCCGACCTGCCCACCCTGAGCCACCTCATCCCAACAATTCTCAATCACGAAGCGTCTCCCCTAGCCTCAGTTCTCGCGCTTCAGCAACCCACCCAGCCCCCGTCGAAGCGCATGCCGAACTCGACAGCCCCAACTTCGATCCGTCCGCTTACATCACCCATTTACTCTCAACCTCCTCTCTCTCAACTATTCTCAAAGCAGAAAATTCATTAATAAGTGATATCCGAACGCTCGATGGCGAACGTAAAGCGCTTGTATACGATAACTATTCCAAACTGATAAAGGCGGTGGAAACCATCGGGAAGATGCGCGCTAGTATCGACGAAAGAGGACAGCCTGTTATCCTGACGAAGACGCTGGGCCCGGCAGTTGGATTTGTGGCGGAAACCGCAGCGGCACTGAGTCAGGAGCAGGAGGAATCTCGGCGGGAGCGGGTCGCTCAGAAGCAGCCAGGCAACCTGGATCGAGAGAGGGAGACTGTGAGATGGGTTCTCGCGAGCCCTAAGAGGCTTAAAAAACTGTTAGATGATGGTAAAGTAGAAGAAGCGGATAGAGACTGGAAGGAGGTAGAAAGACTGCTCGCGAAGTGGAAAACGGTGAAAGGGGTTGATGAGTTAAGAACGGCGTGTGAGAGAATAATGATGAAAGGAGAATAGGTTTCTCTGGACAAGGTATCCTTTTTGGATCGTTACTACCATGCGAGTCTGCAATTTGCAGAGTGAATCCACTATAGCAACTCCAAAACGGCGAGGAGACCGCCTCACTCGTATGCTGCAAACCGTCACACTTGGATGTGTCCAGCTCACTAGCTAATTCCGCGTGGTGATTGCAGATCTTCCTCAAGCACAACAGCTCTAGGCTCCTAGCCTTGGGCTGACGATAAGTGTTGACACGTCCATGCCTTGCGACGGGAGATCCAGTATGGATTGCCGATTGATTAAATGCATAAATTTATCAAAACACTGGATGTGTACACCATTTATCAACCAAAAATGAATGCCTGGAGTGTCACGGGTGAATCCTATTTTTGACAAGGTTATATTCCGTTATCTTAACGTAGCCAGAACATGCATATGTACTGCGTATAACTTCAACCAAAACTTACCATCAAATATAACATAAGAATGCAAACATCAACCTACACATTCTTGCCTATTTAGCGTCCCCTTCTAGAATGTAAGCTCGCCTTCAACCCAAAAGGACTCCCACCCATGATATCCAGATAAGTGTACGCATCACATTTATAGGAAATCGCTTACATTTTTGACCGCTCTGGAGGGTCTCAATTTGTTCATCTATATCAGCCTTGGCTGGTTAGCACCACCAAACCCCGATCCACCACCATCTGTCGCAACTTTTGCACCGATACCCAACTGTCCGCGGGCGATTGATTCCGCAACGATTCCCCAAGCCCTATCGACTTGTCTTAAGGATGGGAACAGCACCCATTTGCTTGATGGGATCTTGTTGGCTCGTGCGGCTTCCAAGATCTCAGCATCCCGCATGCGGCGTTGTATAATAATTCTCTGCTCCAATATTGACCATGGTCTGTCATGTAATTCATCATGCAGGGCATTTCTCTTATTATTGAAGGTTTCTAGAAGTTCTGTATCGTGGTCTCTGAAGTTGCTAACGTGTTGGTTCGAATGTGGTTCTAGATTAGAAATGGCAGGGTTCCTGATATATATTCAGTTGCCTACGGAGGAAGCGCTGGCAGTCCTCGTCAGGAGGCGGGCGAGGAATTGTGAAACGGTTTCTGCTTGTTTCCTATGGGGTTAGCAGGGTGTTGTTTCGTTACAGTTGTCGATACTATCAATGTTTCCTTTGGACTTCTTCTTCATCATCGATGTCCATCATGTCATCAGCCATGTTCCTAAATACCGCAATGTCGCTGCTGGGCAGTGATGGTTGCCAGAGATCTTGGATGGATAGATGTCCAGCAATGGAGAAGGTCGAAGCTGAATACCAGCTCCTCAAGGGCCACTACTTGACTATCACCAGGTGTTGAGCCTTATGTCCGTTATATTTTATCCTCTATCTTTGGAAAAGATACACTGTATGGATGTTGTACCGTAGAAGCTTTGATTACACTGTGTTCTGGTGGATTCCTCATCAGAATGCGTTTTATCCCATTGAAGCAAAGCCGATGATGTTAAAAGCCTCGAAAAATGGTTAGATAGTATTCGATCTCAAACCTTAAAGAAATGGGATCTATCCACCCACCAGCTCCAAGAACCAGCAGTGAGATGTATGACCCATTTCAATGCTCTATCATTTAATTTTCACAAAATTGAGCAGATAGCCTCACATCAATATAAATAGTTGCAAATATACAAATACTAATATCCACGTGCGTCATCCCAGTGGATATCACCAACTCACTCTCTGCAATGACGAATATTCAAAACCCCCAGTCACTATATACAACTTTCCTCGAACAACCTCCGAGTTGCCTGGAATTTTGTCCTTCAGCTCCTGATTATCTCATCATTGGGACATATCTTTTATCTGAATCGTCCACATCAAATCCAACTGGTACTCAATCAAAAACTGGGACCATACAACTTTTCAGACTTGATCCTGAATCTTTTCAACTGTAAGATTATAAAATGAATAGAGGAGTATATAGTTTATCTGCATATCCGTCGAAGTTGATTTACGTAAATGGATTATTTCCAGATTTTATTGCTGACTAGAACTATAGGACTCAAATCCACAAAACTCTGCTACCCCACGCAGTCTTCGACGTTCACTTCTCTCCAAGAGACCCGAGTCTATTCGCAATCGCCACAAGCGCTGCATCTGTGTCATTATACAACCTTGAATATTCCTCGCCGCAAAACCCCCATATCATCCTCCACTTGACCACAATAACCGCTCACGAAAACCCTAACATCCCCTCTCTCTATCTCTCCTGGCTACCGCCATCACATTTAACGGCAGGGAACAAGGGAAAAGTACACTCTCATGCCCATGGCTATTCGCCTGATCAGTTATCTACAGACGGCTTCGCTGTCTCGTTTTCAGATGGCCGAGTCTCCATATTTCATACTAATTCACCTTCGCACGACTTCTCCCAAGATTCCATGACAGAGATAGTGTTGCCAGGTGAGCCAGTAGAGGTCTGGTTCACTGCATTCCATTATGGCAAATCGTTATCCGGGAAAGAGAATCTTCTGTTATTCGCTGGGGACGACTTTGGGGTTCTGCGTGTGTATGAATTTGTAGCCGACGGGGAAGGGGACGAGAATCAGAGACCGTTATGGGCTGAAGGGCAATTCCCCGCACAGACGACGGATGTCAGTGTTGGTGGAAAACATCATGGAGCAGGCATTACAGCGATCTTGCCTTTGTTTACTGAAGGTAGCGACACAGTGTTGCTTACTGGGAGTTATGACGAGTACCTCCGTGTATACAAATTTTCAGGGCAAGCGTCGGTTTTAGCCGAGGAAAGATTGGGTGGAGGGGTGTGGAGGTTGATGGTCATAACAGAGGTGGACAATGAAGCCTTGGCGATGGAGGGATCTTCAGATATAAGATCATACTCATATTTTGTTCTCGCTAGTTGCATGCATGCCGGAGTGAGGATTGTCAGGGTGACATGTTCTGTTGGTAAGGATACCTCAGCGGCGGGGGCGTGGGAGATTGAAACCCTGGCACAGTTTACGGAGCATGAGAGTATGAATTATGCGTCGGATGTGTGGAGAGGTGGAACGAAAGTTGGGACTCAAATTGGGAAGGAGAGCGATTCCTTGCTATGTGTCTCAAGTAGTTTTTACGATAAAAGGGTTTGCGTATGGAAAGTAAAGGTTTAGGAGTTGAGAAGCCTACTTGGCAGCTCGCTGGATGGATTGATGAGTGAAGAGAACCAATGCCATAATGCCGGGCATGAATAAATGAGCCTCATCCGTTATCTATGTGTTGCTATAGAAGAAAAAGAAAATGTGGAAAAGGGAGGCTCCGTTGCATTTATGGAAATGCTATGTAAAACCTTAATCGATGACGTTCAAGACTGTGCATTTAACACTTTATCCTCTTTTTATCGCCTGTGGTAAACGCCTACGATATGGGTTCACAGATGGGAACCAAGAGAGGCGGAAGGGCGCGGGAGCAAAGTACCTAATTACACGATCGTCCCCAACTGCTGAGCATAGCCAATGCCATTCTCAATAATCGCGCGGCTGGCGTGTGAAACACTCGTCTCCGAACCTTGTGTGTGTTCCACTTCTGATTGAGGGAAATATATTCTCCCATCCCTGAGAACCCAGCCTCGAGCTTGTGCAAATTCAACGACATCTCCTTCAGAATCTAGTTTTAGAACATCTTTGGCGCTCGATATGGAGAGGGATTCGTATGCCTTTTCAGCGCTGGCGGCCATCCACATTCGGATTGTACTTAGCAGGACCTAGACAGATGACATTAGAGATGAATTGCAAGGAAGTGGAGATTCTTCCTCACTTCCATTCTTGTATCTTTCTCTAACAATATAAATCACGAGCCCGGAAGCCTCTAGAGGGTACATACCGGAGAAAATATTTCAAATTCCTCAGCAATTTTGTTTGTCCCGACGAACCCCCCGAATTCTTTTTGTTTCTCGTCTGGTGTTTCAGCTGTTCCCACGCCACGTTATACCTCCCGTCCGTCATACTAGCCGCTAAGTCGATCGGGTATTTAAGTAACGGATCATTTTGACGCTATCCTCATCCACGTCCCTCAGCCCTGCCAAAACCGTATCAAATTCTGTTATATTGCCCTCACTCAACAAATACACCAGATATAGAGCCGTAATCTTGTTTCTCTGGCTGGCACTTGGATTTAGACGCTGCAGCGCGGGGTCTTTGGCCATTTGAAGTGCTTGCTCTCTGTCGTAGAATGGCTTCAGTAGCTTGTAGCCGGTGGTGAAAAGGACTTGGTTTTTTGGGTCATTCTCTCCAAGGCGCAGTGAGGTGATGGTGGATAGTTCTAGGGCTTCACGTGCGAGGCAAAAGAGTTTATCATCGACTGAATCTGTTAGAGAAAAGGCGCCCAGTTTGTGAAGTATTGGAGCTGTTTTCTGAACAAGCTTTTCAGCTTGATAGAACTGTTTGTGTTGGAGGTTGGACTTGAACGCGGCGATGAGGTCTAGGAGGTCTTTGACGTCCTTGCCTGACATTGTAATGAAGGTTCAAGAGTGGCGTGTGTCGTAGGGAAATGAGAAATATGCGTTGACTGCAATGAACTAAAAGTGAGGTTCGGGAGGAGAGGATTGCGGAAACACAAGATCAGGCGGTCGTCATATCTAACTAACGAGACAAGAACTTTGGTTTACGCGCTGGGCGCCGCAGGAAGGTTTTTCCGTAACTAGTAACCCACATGAATCCCGTCGAATTCCCGTTTAACTGACGATTGATTTATTTACATCTCTTGAAAAGCATAGTTATTTTCACGATTCATACATTGATTGTTATTAAGCATTATTCTGTATTGCGTTCTAATTAATCCTTCGAGCAACGCACTTTTACATTTATAAGTTCAGCAATTCAATGCTGGTAACCCCGGGGTGTCCCAAACAAAATTGCACCTGTATGCTCGACCAAATCATGCCCAT